CTGGTGGTTCATCCGTTCCAGTCATTCCTAAACACATATGTGAAGATGTGTTGTAAGTCATTGCATTCTTTATTTTTCCATATATAAAATACTATTAGAATTTTTTGTTTAAAAAGAACTATATTTAATGTTTATTAACAGAATGGATTTTGATGCACTTCGTGACGTTCAATCTGGCCTAGGCACGGCTGCAGTAATTGTGATGGACAAATCTACCGATATTGTCCAAGCGATTTCTCGTTTATCTGATTTCTATAAACACGAAAGTTGTGGACAGTGCACACCATGTAGAGAAGGTACAAAATGGCTTATGGGTCTGATGTCGCGTTTCCAAAAGGGCTATGCTGTTCCAAGAGAAATTGATATGGCTGAAGAACTAACAAAACAAATTGAAGGACATACTATTTGTGGTATGTTAGAGTTTATTATTTATAGATCATTTAAATAATAACATTGTTAAATTTACATATTTTTACAGCATTAGGTGATGCAGCAGCGTGGCCTGTTCAAGGATTAATTCGCCATTTTAGGCCAGAGCTTGAAGCTCGCATGAAATCATATGCTTCTACACATGGTGAAAAAGAATTATCAAAATTTGCCTCAGCTTCACCTGGTCTTGATAGATATTCCTTATCAATCGTTTAAAAAAAAAAAAAAAAAAAAAAAAAAAAAAAACTACAAATTATTTTATAATTATTGCAAGCTCAATTTTATTATTGATTAATTTGATTTGTAAAATAGAAATTTAAATAATTAAGCATTTTTTTTTTTTATACAAAATATTATGTAGTATTTTATATCTATTTTAACTTTATGAACGTCATGACAAAGTCAAACAAGACCAACCGATAACTAATGTCCCCGGTGGTTTATGTCCAATTTGTTCCAAAATTTCTGCAATTGTTCCAATAGTTCCTTGTATAACATTTTGATCCTTACAGCTTGCTCTTTCGATAACAGCGCAAGGACATTCTGGCGGATATTTACCATCATTCATCAAATCCTGTGTTATTTGTTTAATTCTATGACATGCCATTAAAAATACCGTTGTACGAGAAGGATGATATAACGGAATTTCGGGTAAGGTGCCCTGTTTTCCCATTCCCGTACAAACTAAAAATTGTGACGCTACCCCTCTATGTGTTACGGGAATGTTGGCTAACAAGGGAGCGGACATGCAAGACGAAATTCCAGGGATAACCTGTGGAGTGTAACCTTGAGAACGATAAAAAAGAAATTCTTCACCACCACGTCCAAATAAAAATGGGTCTAATATGTATACAACTTGTCAGTAATAATCAATAAATAAAATTAAAATTAAAATTGACAAATGCACTAACCACCCTGCTTTAGTCTAACGACATCTTTGCCTTGGTTTAACGCGTTAAGACCCAAACGATTAAGTTCTTGTTGGGCCGCATTAGCATCTGCACAAAACTTCTTTGGCGATATTAATATTTCAGTTTGTGATGGTACCAATTTTAGTACTTCGTCGGGTACAAGTTTATCAGATAATATTATATCTGCCTCGTGTATGGCTTGAAATGCGGCACGTGTTAATAAATTTGGATCGCCAGGCCCAGCTCCAACAAGTCGGATTCGACCCCGTTTGTTGTTGGATCGCAGCTCACTAGAACTGTTCGTATGATTTCCATTTGATACTTTAGAGTCCGCGGTTTCTTTCTGTACTATTTTTTCTTGATTTTTATTAAGATGGTCTTTTAAAAAGTCGACCAACTCGTAAAGCCCTAGTTCTTGTGCAGTTTCTAAAAGGACAACAATTTCTTCGCTATCACGTTTTTCCATAGATATGATACCGGTATACATGAACCTAGAATAAGAATTGAGTGTTGATTATGTTAATACAGAATAAGTAATATCAATCAGGTCTTATATTTGAAAAACTTACTTCAATATAACATCAAATGCAGAAGAGGAAATATTTGGTTGTTCCAAATAAGTCCAATTCCCTTCTTTCATAACATGTTTATTTGATAAAGCAACACGAAAGTATGGTGACATCGCTCTTAAAATAAGAGAATGTGCTTTAAAACACTTTATATTTGAATCATTTCCTGTTCGAATAATTGTATTAAACTCATTGTCTGGATCTTCAAGCAATTTACCAATTTTATTTGAAAAATTTAATAGTAAATTATTAGAAGACATTTTGTTTTTTTTTTGTTTTATTTTAATTTTGAAAAAAAAAACTTTAGACGGAGGAATAAATGTTGACTCTTTTATAAAGATCTGCTATCTATTCCACATGATTTTTTTTTACTATCCGCAGCTTAAAATGGTTATTTATAATTTAATTTTTTTGGATATGAACTCAATAAGGCATATCTCCGTGAAAACCCTTGCGTTACGATGCTGTGCTTCCTTAAGAAGATACAGTAATTCGTATTTTCCATGTTTACCACGTGAATACTATATCATTTCTTTAACCGTAATCTTTACATTAAATGAATTATAGTAATAGTAAATATGTAGTGTACAGTACTACTGTATAAATAATATTTACGCATTATGTCAAAGTTACACTCTTGAATCAGATATACCATATTAATGTATTTCATATCTAATCTCTTCTTATCTATTATCTATTATCTTTTATCAAATTATTTCCCTATCGTATGATATATTTGTTACGTTATCAAATAGTAGTAACGCAATGCTTTTATTTACATTAACTTATGCATAATCTTGCAGACTCATGAATCCAGCAAACTATAGTAGAACAAGGTGTATATCGATATAGCTCATTTGCTATCGCTATATGATTTTCATTACAAATGGAGGTTTGTACTATTGAGCAACTATCTACGGAACAAACTGGCATTCGTAAAATGTGTATCAGGTTGGTGCGCCATAGTGGCTGAATAATATATTTTTCAGATTGGAATGATTTAAATATGTAAAACGCAGTAAATACAGAAGCGCAAATTAATTTATTACCATTTGATCGTGAAATGATTCTTTTAACTGAAAGGTCCTTTCTATTAAGTTCTATTTTGATATCTTTGAGATCCTATAGCCAATATATTGTTATTATAACTTTTCTCTTAGCTAGTAAATATAGTTTCTATTCTTTAGATTAAGCTTTTGATTTTATTATATTTGCTCTTAACATCTAGTTAATTGAAATATTTCTTTTGTTATATAATGTTTTTGCAATTTTTTTTTTTTTCAGATTTAGCCCAAGTAAAATTACTAGTAAGAAGCTTTTTTTATACTAAAATCAGTTTTACGTCTAATTTATCTTCTATTCTTAGACTTGAAAACTATTTTGGCTATATAATTATTAGAATATAGAGTATCTAAATAGTATTCTTGAATTGTTTTTGATTTAAAGAATCATAAGGCTATTAATTTTGTTTAGAAAAGCTAAATATACTGCATACCAAACTTATAAAAGAATAAATATTTTTATTAAAAGATTTTTTTAAAAAAAAAAGTTTTAATAAGTTTTTTTTAATAATTTTTTTTTCTGATAATAGTTGAAGTACTATTTGTATTAACTTTATATTTAAAGATTATTATTGTTTTTTGTTCAAAGATTTTAGCAAGTTAGAATTTTTTTTAATTTAATTTTATAAGCTATATTTGTAAGAAAAACTAGTTTAGTTTTGTTTTTGTTAATCTTTGTATTAGATATAGTTTTATAAGTTTCAAATAAATATATTATGTTGGTCTAATCTGATAAAGAGCTTATTCTTATTATTAAATTATTAGCATATTACAAAGTTGAACTAATTATAAGCTTGTATTCAGTAAATACTAGTACTTAATAAGTACTAAAATTTTATATTACTTTAATATTTATAAATTTTAACTACTTATTAAGTACTAAGTTTAGTACTTATTAAATATTTAAATTTTTAATATTTTATAAGTATTTATAATAATTAGTTGTAATTACAATTCAATTTACTTTATGTCTAATTAATATTTGTCAAATACTTGCTAACTATTTGACTAGTACTTAGCAAGTGTTATGACAAATTTTATAATATATAAGCTAATAATTTAAAAAACTAATTTTTTAACAAAATTCTTTATATATTTTTTTTTTAGTTAGCTAAAAAGAGATTTAAAAACAAGTATATTAAACAAAAGAGAAAAAGAATCTTCTGAGGACCTAAGCTATGCAGAGAAATGGATCTGCAGGTAAACCAGCTAGCGTAAGCAGTTGGTCATAGTGGTGATATTAGTTTGAGATGGGGAGAAGAGTTAATAATCAGAGTGTTTAAATAGGTAACTCACAGGTGGGTTGCAGGTATAGCAGCATAGTGTAGAACCAACAGATGGTCGATCGTCTGTATGGCAGACTACTTAAATTAGACAATGACTAAAGTTGTATATGTGGCTTGTTGTATACTCATCATGTAACTATAAAACCTTAGAAAACTATTCATGTAATAGTTCTGTAATAACAAACTAATAAAAATCTAATTGGCCAAGGAAGTGGCCTTAATAACAAAAAAAAAAAATAAATAAATAATAAGTAAGATTACTTAAATATAAAAAAAAAAAGTATCATTAGAAAGCCAAACAGTAAAGAATACAAGAATAATATTAGTTTTTTTAGTACAAAATAATAAATTAAACTTAATGATAATTATAGTTTTAGAAAATTAGTTAAATAATATAATATATTAAAAATTTTATCTATAAGAATTTTTTTTTTTTTTGTTATTAAAATAACTTACTATACTAAGTAAATTTTATTAGTTAATATATAAGGTCATCTATTAACAATCCCTTATAGTTTGTAATTATATGAAGAGTATACAATCTGCTATACATACAACTTTAGTCATTATCTAATTTAAGTAGTCTGCTATATAGATAGATCACCTGTTTAGTTCTACACAAGCTACTATACTTGTAATCTGCTTGTGAGTTACTTATTTAAATACTCTGTCTAACTAACTAATACTGAAATCAACTAATATTACTATAACATCTAACACTTAAGCTAGCTAGCTCATTACAAATCTATTTATCTAACTTAGCTTAGATCCTCTTAGAATATGTATTGCTCAATATATTGTAGCATACAGAACTCTAGTTAATCTTATAAGCAAATCTACTAGAGCAATTTATATCTATTTTACAGATTCATTTAGTTTAGACTCTTGCAGATATTCATATACTCTAGTTCTTAATATAGCTCTCTACTGATATTATTTGCTAATTTTTTTTAGATATTTTATAAGCTAGATCCTTCTAAATTCAGTTAGCTATTAAGCCAAGTTGGTGTTGCTAATTCTCTCTATAGAATATACTTACTTATATCTAACTTAATTTACATCTTTTGAGTAACAGTTTCTATTCAGATTAAGTATTAGCTAGTATGACTATCAAAAACTATACTATTTCACTAACTTAGAATTTCTATTATGCAGATTCTCTACTCATAGATCCTATTAAGATTTATTTGTACAATATTATATTTTACTTTCAATATCTGAATAATATTAGTATAATGAGATTTATAGGATTACAACTCTAGAAATGAACAAAGTTTACTATAAATTGAATACAAAGGTCTAAGTAATTATTCAAATTTGTCAATAGTAAGATTTGAACTTCAGACCTCTTGTATAGTAGTCTACAACTTAACTACTATACTAAGATCACCAGACCTTATAAAAAATTTCTTGATTACCTCAAAAAAACAATATAGTATAAAAAATAATAAAAGAAATACTATCTACTTTACAATAGCAAGTAATTTATATTGCTATTATAATATAAGATATATTCTAACAAATATATAAATATTAGTAAAATATATTTAAAAATATAAATAGAGTAATAGTATTATAGATTACAAATTCCTACTACTCTATCTCTTACTCTAGAATTAGTAATTTAAAAAATAGTTTAGCTTTTAAATAGAGATTTGTATACTTTATATATATAAAATATATATATATATATATAATTATATACACTTTAATACTAAGTACTAACTAATAAAATTAGCTATTAGCATATATTTTATAATACTATACTTTATTTATATTTTTCTAAATATATTTTGCTAATATTTATATGTTTGTTAAAATTTTTAAATAAGTTTTTGAGAATAATTTGCTAAGTTTTACTTTATTTTTAATAAAATTTATATTAAAATAAAGCTTTAATTTAAAAAAATTTAATTCTTTTAATATCTAAGAGTTGTTAAATTAGTAATATTTTAAGTAAACAAAAATTATATAATATTTTAATAAAATTTAGTTTAAAAAATATAAAACTAAATCTAAAGATAAAACTCTTTCCTGTACTGCTCAATAACTATACTGCAGAAAATAGAAAAAAAAAAACAACTATACAACTAATACTAAAAACTTTTTCTTTTGAGAAGGCTTAAATAAAAAAAATAACTACTCACAAAAAAGATAATTACTAACTTCTAAAACCAATTACTTGAATATTACAACTCCAACTATAGAGAATAGAGGAGGAATGAAAAAATATTATCTTGTTGATGATATTAGTTCAAACAACACAACAAATAATAACAAAAACAACAATAACAACAATACTCTGAATATAGAAACTATAAACACAAACTATATATCCCAACAAAGCAATACAATAAACAATAACAAACTAGCTAAATATATTCTTAATATTATAAACTATGATGCTAACAAACAAACTTTCAGAGTTTATTTTACTCTAGAACTTTCTAATAATATACACACCTACTATATTAATATACAAAAATCTACTATTATCAATAATATCACATAATTTCCAAAATATTAAATACATTCTAGCAAAGCTAATATACTTCTCTTCATACTTAAAAAAGTTAGAAATCAGAATGCAATCACAATCTCTACAATTAAAATCCCAACTAGTGAAACCTATAACTCCTCTCTTATTAAAACCTACACCTAAACAAAATTACAATATCTTAAAGCAAATAAACAAAAGAATATATCAGCACTTCTAATATTATCCTATGAAAACTTCACTAATACTACTAATACTTCTATTACTAC